AGAAGGAACCAAATGTCAGTCAAATGGAGGGCGGAAATGGTTTGAGGCAAGAGGTAAATCTTCTTCGTTGTCTTTGTTTTGAGTTGTTTTTATTCCTTGTTCAACTGTTTATCTCGTGATTCGTTGATAGTCAGATTATGTTGCATGCCCTGGCAGATGTTATTAAACATGTTTTTTCCGGAAAAACAGGAAGTTGATGATTTAGTACAATGGTACTTTCCTTTTAAAATGAGTCATCAAATTAACATTGTTTTAAAGCCATGACTGTCGTATAGCAGTCGTATGATTTTTTTCAGCCAATCAGCAGGAGTTGTGACTCATCTTATAGTGATTACTAGGCGAAGTTCTTTCCCATTTCAGCTGTAGTCTTGCATTCGCAGTTTGTTGTCGGCAAAGTGCGCTGTAGCTGGCACGATTAGTTTCGAAAACATCTTGCACAATGAAGATCTTTTGTGATGGAAAAGCGATTACACCTGCAGCACTGGTGACATATGAGGGTATGAACAGTGTCTATCGTAAGAAGGGAGGCGAACTGCAGTACATCGAAGGATCACGCACTTACGACACGCTTCGCTACGGAAAAAAGAATTCCGAACTTCCCTTTGAGTTCACCTTCACAGATAGGTACAACCATCAGTGGAAAGTTGTGATTGATAGAACGGACGACACCGTCAACATGTTCATTCCCTGCGGTTTTCAGATGCTGTGGTATGGCGCCGACGAGAGTCCAACCAGAACTGGCTCCGATGCTCAAACACAATGGGCGTCGGTTCAGTTCAGCTGGCAAGATAAAACTTACCTCCCGCCTTTCCATGCAGGGGTCAGAATTGCGTTCAGTGGATATAAAGATAAAACAACCGGAGAATGGAGCGTGGATACAGAGCGTTGGAACAACATTCTGGATTTGGCCAAGAAAGGAACAGAGGTAACTGGAGCTGTTATGGAACAAATTGAAAAGGGAGTCGCAATCGCTTCTGGACACTAGTCCTTTTGATCTTGACTCTACCGCCCTTGGACGCACGAAATAAACTGTTGTTGCGTCACTTGTAGATAATGACCGGCACAAATGTGCTATTTTTTCTATTTGTCAGTGACATTTAATTTTTTATGCACATTAATTGGCAATTTGAAATTGTGTGTGGTTGTTTATTTTCCTTTTTTTCAGCTGTAATATTGCTTAGTTACTTTATTGTCTTCTAAAATGGAAATTTCAAATAACATATTGCATAGTGGGCAATTCGTGTACTCTCTGTATTGTATTTTGAACCACTCGACGTCAGTGCCGTCCGTATTGTTGTAATCCCTATACCTGCTTTTTTTATCTCTTGGTTTATATCCTTGTGCTTTCTGATTAAAACATAGTTTAACCCGTGATTTTTTAAGGACCCTGGCCCTTGTTAAACTGTCCAAATATGGTGTGTTACAATTAAATATCGTTATTATTTTTTCGCTTATACTTGACCTTTGAAAGGTGTCGCATGTATATTCAACAACAAGAATAAGTCATTAAAGAAATACAAAAGAAATTTAATAAAACCACAAATAAATCAAAGAGGAAGCGTGATCGAGTGTTTGCACACCGGGTTGTGAGGCTTCGCCACTAGCTTGTAGCACCGAGATCAACTTCTTGGCTTCGCTTGCAGAATAACCTAAAGCTCAACAGCGTGTTCCAAGTGATTTGGAGCACTGAGGTAGTGGGGCTTTTTATAATAGAGGGAACCGAGAAGGAACCAAATGTCAGTCAAATGGAGGGCGGAAATGGTTTGAGGCAAGAGGTGAATAACCTTCCTTGTTGTCCTTGTTTTGAGTTGTTTTTATTCCTTGTTCAACGGTTGATCTCGTGATTCGTTGATATTCNAATAACCTTCCTTGTTGTCTTTGTTTTGAGTTGTTTTTATTCCTTGTTCAACGGTTGATCTCGTGATTCGTTGATATTCAGATTATGTTGCATGCCCTGGCAGATAACACACGTGATATAGCAAAATGGAAGAATGCATTGTCATTTCAGTGCCAGTGTAGGGCATAATGCGATTGAGAACAGCAATGAATAGCGCTTTTGTTGTCTTTGTAACTGGCTCAGTGAGGTCGGAGTTATTTTTCATCAGCCACTTGATCATAGCTGATGGCAGTTATGG